CACAAATACAAGTTCGCCCACGAGATGCCACGGAGTCGCGCCAGGCGCTGTCCACACTCGTTTCCGAGATCAACTACAAGCGGTTCCTTCTCTCCTCGGCCACAAGGTGATCGATGACCGCCAGCAGCTGATCCACGACAAAAAGAAGGACCTGATTAAGGAGATCACAGCCATGGCGGTGAAGATTACCAATACGGTCAATACCAGGGGCAAGCAGCTAATCATGCGGTTGAACGAGGTGTGCGACAGCAAACTGAAGGTGCTGGTGGAGAAGAAGGAGACGCTTCAGCTGCTGTCAGACAATACGGACCACTGCATCGACTTCATGCAGAATGCCCTGGAGAAGGGCAGCGACTTCGCCATCCTCTCAAGCAAGAAGTCGCTGGTGCGTCACCTGCAGAAGCTCAAGTGCCAGCGGGCGGATATTCCCAATCCAGAGATTCCAGTGCGCATTCAGGTTCAGCTCAACCAGGTCTCTGATCTCCAGAAGGTCATCTCGCAACTGGGCATCATCATCGTGGACGGCAAACCGTATCCGCCCACGCCCTCGCCCAACGGAACCCCACAGCCGCAGCACCCACCGCGCCAGCCGCCCAGCCCGAACATGGCCCCACCGCTGCGGCCCGGACTTCCGCCCGGAATGCCAGCAGGCCTCTCGCCAAACGGACCGCCCGTCAATTTTGGACCCCAGAACGGACCGCCGCTCTATAGCAACGCAGCCCAGCAGCAGTTCAACAATCTGTCCATGAGTCGCTCCTTTCCGGGCGACGGGCCAGGTAAGGGTATGAATGATCTTTATTTCTTATTTATTATTTTTAACGTTTAGAAGAAGAGGGTCGTACATTTAAAGAAAGTAGGGTCCTTATTATGGCATATAACTTTTATGATATCAACTAAGTTATAATTATAGAACATTATGGTTTAAGATTATTTCCACGTATCACCGAACGGAACTATTCCCAACATTTCCAAGTTAATAAATAAATATACTGTGATCTAGACTTCTAATTAAAAGTTCTACCCGAGCAATTATTCAGAATTTGTATCTAATACCATAATCGACCAAAACTCTAGGGTGTTTAAAGTTTCGTTCGCGGAAGTTAAGCGTCCCTTGCTGTTTCCATGATTTAGTGATATATCAGCTGCATGGAGGAGCAGGCCTGCTTTCCCAGAAAGAGGCTACCTCCTGCTAGACAGTGGCTGGCACAGCTTTTTAATGGATTTTCTTCTATGTTGCAGTTCGCTTCGGGGGAATGCCGCCAGTGGGCATGCAGCGACACGGCCAGCCGCACGTGAGCTCCTCCACGCATCCGCAAAATATGGGTAAGTGCCGGAGGCGGACTCCAAAGAACCAAAGACAAGGTGGAAAATTAATTTTGTACTCGCGCATTTTCAGACATCAGCCTGCGGGGCCTGCTGAACAACCAGGCGGCGCAGAGCCCCAACGCCCACATGGCATTCAACGGACCGCCCAGCTATCCGGGCGGTCCGCAAGGAGCACCGGCGCCTGCCCACCAGTCGATGGGCCCCCAGATGCGACCGCATTTCATGCCCGGCCAGCAGGGTTTCTCCCAGGGCGGTGGTCCAGGCGGCGGACCGCGGGACGCCAACTTCATGAACAGCAACGCGCGCTTCCAGTCGCAGTATCAGCGCATGGCCAACCACGCCCAGCAGCAGGCGGCGGCGGCAGCGGCCATGGCCGGAGCGGCGGGGGGCGGCGGCGGGCAGATCCCCTCGCCGGGTGCACTGCAGCGGCCCCCGATGATGTCGAATCCCATGCAGAATGTGAGTGCCATGCAAAATGTAAGTCCTCAAAACAAAGTTTCATTATGGTGGAAACGGAAATTTAACCTTTTTCCTGTTTTCCTTTTCCAAAGTCGTTGGGGTTTCATGGGAGCCAGGCTGGCTTTAATGCCGGCCCACCGCAGACCTCCCCGCAGTTAGGCGGCGGAGGCATGCACAGCCTGGCCAAGTGGCACATCCCGCAATCCGCGCAACAGTCGAACAGTGAGTAATTGAATTAAACAAGTCCATCGCATTTTATTTTATTTAAATTATGTATGTTATAATTGGAAAGCCTGCATCTAAGTATTTAACTAAAAAGGAAAACAAAAATGTTTATTATTTTGGTTATAACAAATATAACAAATATTAATATATGATAAAGACAACTTTCCCCTTAAAAATTACTGTAAATAAAGGAATCTTATATTTCGATGAAAATGTTGAAATTAAGTTTCCCCAAGTTAAACTAACAGATTTTTTTATAATAAAAGTTTATATTTTACTTTAAAGTCTAAATAAATATTATTCATCATGTTAGTATACTTTTCAAGTTAAGCCTCTCATATTAAAGAATGTGGGGACCATAATTCCAAATCGTGAAATTTGTTTATAACTAGGTAGTTATTTCCCGGAAAGCAAGTCAAGTTTATACGAAAATTCACACGAATTCTTATCTTATTACTATTAAATTACGTCAGAGGAAATGTTGTTTATATGTATATTGGAATTTTGTGGAAATATATGGGCTAGTTACAAAATAATCTTTGAATACTTTTGACAACGTTTTCCCATTACTCATCGACCATTTTGCCTTCCATTTTTAGTGTGTTCGCAGCAGGGTCCCCTTTTGCCTTTTGCGAATGGCCGCCAGACATCGGAAAATTTTAAAATCTCACTGAAATCTCCAAACACGCTCAAGAACAGCACCCCGCCCAGCCTGGGGGGCGGTGGTGCAGGTCACCCGGGCCTCGGAAACGGCTCCTCCAGTGCCCAACTGAACGCAGCTGCCCTGGGATTGGGGCCAGCTGTTTCGATACTCTCAAATGTCACCTCGACGAATCCAAAGACGCCCAGTCCCAGCACCCATGAGGTGAGTTTTACGTTATACTTTAGTTTATACCCTTTTCTAACCTCTTTCTTGTATTAATAGAACACCAAGGACTTCACCGAACCCATAGACAAGGTGCGTGATGACTCAATCAACGATCTGATTGCCACCATAGCCAAGTTGGACTCGAATGGGGTGCAGGTGCTGCCGGAGGGTCGCACCAAGACCACCTCACCGCAGGTTCATAGCTCCACGGATCTGTCGAACACGCAGGAAGGTAAGTACTCCCAGCGCTGTCCAACGCTCCAAGTGCTTCATGTGCGTGTGGCGTTGTAGTTTCCGAATCTCATGCCCGGTCCATAAAAAAAAGGGTGGAGGAAATCAATTTGTTTAAGTCCTTGAGTGGTTATATGCTTCTTACCTGCTTATGTTTCAACCATCAGCCCTTAATCCGCTTTAGTTTTAGACTCTGGTGAAGGTTAAATGCTCATTTGTGTGGAGACTTGTCTGTTGGGTTGGGTACGCTGCTGCGCTGCATCATTACCATTAGTTTTGCTTGTCGGCTTACCAAATAAAATTCTAAAATTCTCATAACTTTGCTCTCTTTATTTCTATTTTCAAACATTCCGAAATAAACTCGTTTTCCAAATAAAATCAAATACGCGCAATAAACGAACGACACGAATAAATTACTAACAATTGAATCAATTCCAAACCAACACTCCAACACAAACTCAAACTCAAACCAACTCGAATTAATAAAAACAACAACAATGCATACACGACACACCCACATGAATATACACACCCGAACCATGAATGCGAACCCAAAACTAATCATATCAGTTAATAATAAAAACGAACAAAAAGATGATCCCAACGAGGACTGGTGCGCCGTCTGCCTGGACGGAGGTGAGCTGATGTGCTGCGACAAGTGTCCCAAGGTGTTCCACCAGAACTGTCACATCCCCGCGATCAGCTCGCTGCCGGACGAGAGCGAGAGCTGGCAGTGCCTGCTCTGCGTCAATCTCAAGGAGCTGACCAAGACGGAGGGCAGTGAGAAGGGCTCCTCCGGCGAGCTGAGTCCCCTGGAGCTGCGCATCCTGCAGCGCATCTGCCTGGAGCTGTACTGCCAGTACGAGCAGAGCCTCAACTTCCGGGAGCCGGAGTCGCCAGCCAATACATCCTACTATGAGATTGTGTCCAGGTAAATTTCAACGAACAGCGCACCTCTAATGATAATATATTAAAATATTTTTTGTATCAATCCCTTCAGCCCCATGTCGCTGGATGTGATTCGCACCCGCCTGGATCCCTCCAGCCCCAATCACTACAAGGACATTGCCGGCTTCGTGTCCGACGTGCGTTTAATCTTCTCCAACACATACCTCTTCTATCAGGTGAGGGTTACTATTGACTTAGCCTTATTGGCGATCCCTACTAATGCCCGAATCTTCGGCCAGGAGGACACGAAAACATACTCCAATGCCAAATACTTGGAGAACTTCTTCGAGGAGCAGCTGGCCAAGTGGCTGCCGCAGTTCGAGGGCAGTAAGCTGGGCAAGGGCAGCAGCTCCAACTCGCCGGCGCTGTTGGGTGTGAATGCGACTGGCTCGCCGTCGCCCATAGAGAATGGACGAAAGAGTTGTGGCTCGGCATCGCTGGGTGACAGCGATTCTGGCTGCTTGCCGGCCAAAAGGGCGCGACGGTCGGGGCATGAATAGAACGAGCTAATGCCCGGCGGAAAGGGCACAGACGGGGAGCAGCCGGTGGAGCGGGAGAGCAACGCCGCCAGCAGGAGAGCAGGCTGGGCAGCAGCAGCAGCTGCCGGCGTTTTTGGAAGAGATGGACTTGGAGATGCCGCAGCGGCCGCACAGCCTGGGCAGCAATGTTATACAGGAGAGCGCCGACTATGTGCTTCAGCTTTTGCACGCTTACGCCGCCGCATTTGGACTGTAGATACCGCAAAAGCTACTTGCCAACATTCTCCTCTAATGTAGACTTCACTGTATATGGTGAGCGATCGACCCGTAGGCTTTTTCCCCACTATCACGAGAGACACACACATCTAAGCAGCTAGACCTAAAAATAAAAGCAGATGTGCCCTTTGAACTTCAGTGTCTAGACACATTTAGAAACTCACTTGTAAATAGTAAAGCCAAGCAAGTCATTTGATATGATTTTATTTATACGTACAATGAAATAAATTGAATCCTTGGGCGATCGAGAATTGAAATGAGATATGTTTAGCTAAATTCTAAGTGTTGAATATCCATAAACATTGATATAAATATGTAAACCTTTCTGTAGAGAACCACTAGAGATTAAAACTAGTTTGTAAGTGTTCAAGCTCGAGTGAAATTGTCATCCTTATTTCACTGATTTCTATTTGAGATAGACCCCATTCTGACCCCTCTCTGTTGGAATTGTATTTACTTTTGTGATAGCGAAAAACAATAAGATGAACAAATTACCCATTATTCATTAATATTATTATTACCATTAAATTAAACGCTGTGGCGAAGTTCTACGTTTATTTCGAATTTGACATGTACGATATTTATTGACCGCTAACCATCCCATCAGTAGGACCTAAAGTAGGACACCCAAGCTCCTGCTCATCCCCAGAACAGCATACATTCGTATACCACGTAAGAAGACACTTGAAATAAGTTAGCTGCATTCTAGCCGTCTAAGTTCCGCAGATGAATCAAACCCCTAGATTACGAGTAAGCAAAACATTGATGTTTGGATGTTGTACGTTTGACGTCATAGCATACAGTAGGAGTAAGGAGTGACTAGCTCTATTTATTACCAATCGATCGGCGGGCCACGACTCCCGCAGGCGATGTACATATTGATCTATACATATTTCCGACAAAGAATCACCTTTCATATACCTATAAATATATCTAACCGAGCGTGTATGTAGTTTTGTATGATGCCGGATTGAAACTAAAGTAAAACCAAATCAGCTAAGGTCGATATTTTCATAAATGTTTTCAATGCAAGACACGAGAACAGACACGAACAGAATTAACGCTGGACAACTACAAAACTATTATAAAACTAGATGCTAAAACGTCTACTACCTACTCCTAATGGCGCCACAATAGGAACAATATAGGGGCAAAAAATATTAATGAAATTATATAGCCATGCATAAATGTTTGTACGACGTTCCCAATGGACGACAATGTGTGCTATCCTATCAAAAACACAAAAGCTAAGTAGATCATGCATAGCATCTGCGAATGTTTGTATGTTAAATGTGAAACTATGGAAATTATTTTATCTGTTTTAGCCGTAAGTTTTACGATAACTAAAGATTAACCACTGTATATGGATGTACTACTTACTATCGAGTGGATTATAAAATAATAAAAAACTTCATGTACTGCTCTGATATCATTTATATGGCAAAGAATCCGTCTTCCCGCAAATATTGCTCCTCTCTCTGGGGCTACAAGAGGAACCTCTCGTCGATGAGGGTCTTGCGGGAAACATTGCGGCGCACCCAATGGCGAAACACTTGGCGCAGTAACTGAAATTGAATTGCAGATTAGTTATTCTGAATATCAATTGACTAAAGTGCATATCCTACTATATTAAACAAACAAGCTGCCGCAGTTGCAATCAACAAGTTGGTGGTCATCAGGAAATGGACAGCAGCAGGAGCAGTTCCAGCACGAAGATTGCAAATGGTTACCCAGAAGGAGAACACGGGAGAAGCTGAACGAATCGTCTATGTAAAAGGTACCCTTGTCTGAAAGTAAAATAGTTATAACATCTGAGACAGCATCCTTGATAACTACTCACTTTCCGTAATATAGTTGTCATTTCGCAGTTAAGCAATTGCTCTACAAATGATTTCTCCTTAATAATGTAATCCATGTCCTTAATAGCCTATTAACCAAATATTATTAAATAAACTATGGTATTTAACAACTATTTGATACGATTTTTCTTTTCTTAATTACAAAGGTGTTTTTTAAATCATTAAGAGATTAAATTTAATAAGAAAATCCGTTTGGATTTTACAGAGATAGGATGCTTAGGTAATAAAGTATGGGGCACAATTTTCGTATCTGTGCAATAAAAAAGACTTTATTCTTTTAAAATTTTAAGTTAAGTTTGCTTGGACCTGTCCTAATGGATCATCTATCTATAAAAAGTTATAAAGTGTTTCCTATAAAAATTTCACGGGAGAATATCTTTTAAATTTTTGTTCAATTTAAATTACTTTTTAAATTTGTTACAATGACCACAATTAGGACTATAAATAATCGTTTGTTTTTTAATATTTTAGTTTTAACTCACGTGATCGATAAAGGCGCAGAAGAAGCGATTTACGCTGGCATACGCGATGGAGGTGCGCTCCATCTGGCCATCGATGCTGGGAACGATGTCCTTCTGATAAAGAAGGGTCTGTGAAAGGCTGCCGGTGAGGCTGCGCTGGAAGGGCAGCAGGAGTCGCTCCAGGTAGATACTGTTGTGAAAATAACATAAAAACCATATCCTCTAGAGTTACAGCCAAAACTACTGAAGATTTCTGGGAGGCAGAATGATGTACGCCTGCTTATCCGAATCCATGAGCAATCCCCGCCTTCCACACATGGTCTGGGTCCTCTGAAGCTGCAGAATCATCGAAGACATGTCCGTATCGGCAAAACCGTGTGGGGATCGTCCGTGAATGTAGTACCCAAACCCGGGTTCCGTCAGCGAGAACAGAGAGATATTGGCCAGCTGCACAGATCGATGAACTTTTGGAGGGGATTGCCAAGAGCAGGGTGTGTCCTATTATTTGAAGCAGATAGGTCAGCAGATAAATAGCTGCTAGCAAGCAGCAGCGCAGTCCGAGATCCCCGCTGGTAAATCTCTCCAGGTACTGATAGCCAGCAATGACCACGAGAACCTGACCCAAGGTGGAGTACTTCTGACTCACGCTTAAGCGAATCCAGGCATTAGCCGTGAAAGGACCCGCCAGGCGGAGACGCTGCTTTCGGCCACGAAGGTGCGCACGCTGGAGCAAAGCGAGGAGCTGTCCAGGTTCAGACGCTGTCCCTCGCAGCTGCTTCGCGGCCTCTCCCAGTCGATGAGGAACAATTCCAGCTGGCTGGAGCGCCACAGCTGAACGCCCAGGAAGAGCAACTGCAGCAGACAGGCGGGATAGAGAAGAAGCTTCAGCAGGCGCGGACTGGAGGCCTGCAGCAGCAGGAGCAGCAGCGCAGTGGCCAGCAGAGCATAGGCCACATTTCCGGCCAGCTGCAGGAGAAACTCGATAAGGCTGCTCATCTGGCAAAGATCGGCTTTTCTCCTTCCTCGCAAGTTCTGCAGACGGAAGATGGCAGCAGCGAAGGCTAGCAAAAGGAGGAGGGGCAGCACTACCTCCAGGACTAACCAATCCCATCCCCGTCTCACTTGCTCGTGTGTAATCCTCAAGCGGAACGAATACAGTTGGGAGAGTGAGGCATTTCCCGATCCTATCTCAATGTGCCGATATCGCAGTCGGATGAGGGGCAGACCCACTCTATCCGGGTGATCCTTGTCCAGAGTATAGTGCAGATCTATGTCCTCCACATAGCGCAATGAGTAATACTGCTGAAGCTTGTGGGCATCCTCGTAGCGTGGCAATGTCTGGTGGAGTCTATTGTCCGCGGAAGGCGGATATCAATTGGAAACGCTTCACCAGCTGCCACTCGTCCTGCTGGGGACGCTGAAAGGAGGATTTGATTACTGAATGTAATTCAAGTAAATCAGCTAATCCTCACCTGGTTCTCCGGCGTCAAGGTCTCAATGAGCACGGGCAGCTGGTGGAGGAGAAACTGCCAGTTGCTGCTGAAGTTAGGAAAACCGGTGAGGAACTCGTCGTTGGCCTGCTGGTTGGCCAGGTCAATGAGTCGCTCCAGGGTGAGCTGGCAGGAGACCTCCGACTCCTGCTCCGGTAAAGCCAATCGCAGATTTGGTGCCGGTGATGGCACAAGTTCAGCATCTCCAGATGGAAGGCACCCCACCGTTTGAGTCCTCCATCCAGGCCAAAGGTGGTGCTAAAAAGTCGCAGCTCCTTGCGATCCGGTAGCTGTAGCGTCTTCGAGAGCAGGTCCTTGGTAACTCGACCCTTCTTGTAGAAGAGGAACGGCTGAAGGGACGCACCTGTTCGCCGGAGTGGGCATACTTCATCACCACATCCGAGACCTGGGTGAGCAGGAAGGCGCTGCAGGGCGAATGCTTCTCCAGGGAGAAGTGCGAGAGCACGCAGAGATTGGCCAGCTGCTGGCAGGCGGTGTCGTTCCGCAGGGTCAGACAGAAGAAGCCACGAACTTGAGGTCACCAAAGTGGGTGGGTGCAATGCATCCGGCTTGGAACTGGTGGTGGCTGCCAGAAGGCATTGTAGTGTAGATACGGACGGAGCAGGTGCTGGCCAACAGAAATCTGATAGCGGAATTGTGTCCCATATCGCAGGTGTGGCAATCGCCCACGTTGCTCGCAGGATTCGTCTGGGTCAGGATAATCCCAGAAATAAGTGGATGCACTGGCAACTGACTGGCGAAGACCGACGTGGTGTTGAGATACCTATAGGTGCAATAAGCGGAGGGACGCGGCTGTGGCAGCCATACCGAGGTGCAATTTCGCTCCTGTCCGGGGTGCAAATCTCATCGCAGGTGGGCCACGTCTTACCGCGCTCATAGATGGACAGTGACCAGTGGGGCATTGCAAGAGAACTCTGGAATGGGGGATAGACAAAGGAAAAAATAATGTCTTCTGGGTTCCTAACTGGTTTCCATTTCAAATGAAAATTGGTAAAACCCTTTTTTTATCAGTTTTTGAAAAATGTTTTTTAAATTGTATATATATAACCGCCGGAACTTATTTAATTAGATTAGACTAACTATTTAACACTCTAACATTTAAATTCTGACTATCTTATCTACTTCTACCTGAAATATAAAGTCTCATTTATAAACTGTTGGTATTCCAATATCCATTATTGCATTTTTTGACATATGGTTTCAGAACGAAGCGATCTTTTAAACACGTCCCTCTGTCATTATAATTATAGGTGAAGGAAACAAATCAAAAAATTGAAAGATTGACTTCTAAAAAGGGGTTATTTGCTTAAATTTCGTTGAATTTTAAATTAAAAAATAACATAAAATACAGTAAGACCAATTTTGGGGTTAATAAAACTTGAAGCTAGCAGGTCAGTAACCCTATAAATGACAAATAAATAACAATAAAATGACTTTAAGAAATTGGATTCCAGGTAAAAACGCGAAACCCTCATAAAATCTTAATCTAAATTATTACAAATTATTGAGTGACCTAAAAAGTGGGGGTCTTTCTGGAGGAAAGAAATCATAGCATGCAGTTCCTTTTCCTTGGCCTGCCACCCCTTTGGGTTCTGTTTGATCAATACTACCACTCACTGTCGGGCTGCAGTTTTCCGAGGCCCCCATCTCCAGCAGCGACCTCATTGCAGGGCACACAGTCGAATAGGTTGAGGTTGTAGAACTCGTTCTTGAGGCACTGCAGCGGATTCTGGAAGCGGAAAGTGTGTGGCGTTGGCACCTGCGTGGGATTTGGCGTTGGAATGACCAGCGAACAGCGGGCAATTTGAATTTGATGGCCGATCCCGAGGAGGGCAAGGCACCAGTTGATGACCCGGGGGAAGCACCTCATCCTGTTCTGATTTCCGGAGCTGCTGCTGTCTCTTCAAAACGCAAAAGGATACTGAATACCCCATCGATTGCAGCTGCAATTTCGAAGGCGCCGAGGAAGGCAAGTAAACAAGTGGACTCGTGGTGGGAGCGGAGTTGCTATAGCTACCCAACCCCAGGATTCACCGGGCACGCATGCAAAATGGCCATTATCTGGGGGGTTGGCTCAGGTGGTTGCTCCCTCGACCGAAAGTCCACCTCAAGTGTAATGAGTCCTCGAGACTTGTTACGCCTCGGATTATCGTGCGTCCCACTGGTTTCTTTATACATTTCAGCACTTTGCGTGCTCAAAATTGAGATTGCCATCATTACTTTCTTGGCATTTTGCATATGATTTGTGGGTAAATATGGCAGAGGCTATTTTAGAAATTATATTAAACGTGATGGAATTCTTTATCGGGCAAATCCTTTGACCATCAATGGGGCTATTAAATTAATTGAGCGCTTGCAATATTAAATATTATAATTTATAATATATGTTTTAATACGTGGAGGGGAATTATAGTATTAAGTAAAAACAATGCATAGTATAGTGAATAAAAAATATATCTATAATGCTTTAACAAATTTAAAATAGCATTTCAGAGTTTCAACATGATATGAGGAACTCAAATGAACTTCATCCACAGAAAAATTCCGTATGTTTTCAAACTCCATTTTTTTGTTTATTTTTATATATTTATTTATTTAAGTGTACTCGCATGTAAGACAATTTTCAATTTAAAGTAAAATTTCAAATAAATAATAAGTTTCTTGTGTAATAGGCATAACTTCAAATTCTTAATTTGTCCGTTACATTTGAGCAAAAGCGGTTAAATTAATATATCATTAAAGGAATTAAATTTTTAGATTATGGTGTATAAAAAGGTTACAATCAAACTGTTTTTCCTAGCCGTTTTTTAAATATTTAAAACTTGTTTTGAAGCTTTGTGAAGCCGCCCTTTGCTTTTTCGGGCTTTTGGCTGAGCCGCGCACGGTCACACTGCTGGCCTCCCCCACTTCCTTCCTTGCAAGGACAACACAATTAGGCGGCGGACACATACACTTTTTTCCCCCGATCCGTGGCCGCCAGTTAGCCCAGTCTCGTCCCCCAACCGACGGGTGATTCCCCCAGAGCAACCGTTGGTCATTCGAATCCAGGATGCTGCGCTGGCGTCACTCAGACTAGGAATCCGTAGTCCCAGACGAAAATGAACAATTTGGTGAGTGGGCGGTGGCGGTGGCGAGGGTTCGGTTTCGGGTGTCTCCGTCTCCGATTGTGTGTATCAATCAATCAATCCGCATTGCAATCCTTGCAGGACCACGCCAAGCACTTCTATCCCGACAACTACAAATTGGATCTGTCCGAGACCATGAAGGCGGCTCTCTCCAAAGGACCCGGAGGCGGTGGCGGCGGAGGGGGCGTGGCAGGCGGGGATATGCTTCCCCAGCCGAATGCCGGAATGCCTGGAGTGGGCTATGTAACGGAGAAGCTATACATGCTGCTGCAGCTGTATTTGCAGAACAAGGGCTGGAATCCGAGTGCCGAACTGCTGCAGTGCTTCAGCGATCTGAAGGACAACGCCATGCTCCCCAGCGCAGCCTATCTGCAGTGAGTAGGACGTTGATCTTTCAGTATATCCCTCCTAACGTTCTTCTCTTGCAGGGTGCTGGCCAATCGGTTGACTCTGGACTCCCAGGGACGTCTGATCCTGCGGGACAATGGAAGATTGTGCTGCCCTTCGAGCACTTTGCCAATGCAGTGATGCTGAAGCACATGTCCGGACCACATGGCCTGCACCTTAGTGTGGATGCCACTGTGCGGGCGGTCATCGAGTCCTACACCATCGGTCGGGATCAGTTTGGGATGGAAAGGAGTTCATCATCGAGGTGGTGCAGTCGTGCCCCAGTCCCGCTTGCCGTTACTACAAAAACCACATGGGCATCTCGCCCATGCCGTTTATGGAGCAGCAGTATCCGGGCGTAAATACGCCCGAGTTCCTGCAACGTCTTTCCCACCTGCCGCCTGGCGGAGCAGCTGGATCTGGACCAGGAGGCTCGGCCACCGGTTCGACGTCTAGTGCTGCAAGCAGCTCGAGTTCGGCAAACGTGGAGATCGATCTGTCCAAGTCGACGGGGACCAAGGTGCCGCAGGTTCCGGTGCCGCCGCAACTGCAGCACTTGACCAAGCAACAGCAGAGCAGCATCCAGACACAGCTATCACAGATCAGTGCAGCAGCAGCCCATCACCAACAGCAGCAGCAGCAACAACAGCAGCAGCAGCAACAGCAGCAGCAGCAACAACAGGCAGCAGCCAAGCACCAGCAGCAACTAACGGCGGCCCTAATTCAACAGCAGAACCGCGTCCTCGCCCAGCAAAGTCTCGAGAAGCTTAGCAACCATCTTAGCCCGCTGGAAAAGCAGCGTGTCTTCGCCCAGCTTGATCCCAAGCACTTTGATCCCATGGCCGTCGCGGCTGCAGCCGCCAATCTTCAGATCCAGGGACTGATGCAATCGCAGGCGGTGGCTGCCGCCGTGGCCGCCAACCAGCCACCGACGGCCACAGCCACATCCGCGGCAGGAGGATCTGCAGCAGGCCCTCAGGCCCATCACGGCCATCATCCTTTGCCGCCGCCATCGCAGTCGCCGCACTCGTCCTCTTCGTCTTCCTCACACTCCTCGCTGGACCAGATTACCCACAAGAACGTGGCCGACTCCTTGCGGTGAGTGGAATTACATACATAATTAAGATATCTTAATTTTTAATTAGAAATTAATATTAAATTAAAAACGGATAAACCATGCAACTAAATCATTCTATTAATTAACACTATGAGATAATCCATATATCACTTATACCCTTAATATTGATTTTCTAATAATATTGTAAACTTCGCCCATCTTAGCTCCAATTTGGATTCAATAGAGTCGAACAAGGATTTGCTGGCGCTGCACAATGGGGCCTGGGCCACCGGCGACGCTAACCGCATGGATCACCTGGCCGTGGGCCAGGACAAAATAGTGCGGATCTTTGCGGAGCTGATGCGGAACATGTCGCGGATGAAGACCTACATACGTCCCTCGATGTGCAAGCCCTACGGCAAGCAGAGCGAGAGTCTGCAGAAGAGTGAGTACCAAACTGAGAACCGGTTCTGTGTGCCAGCTATCTCAGATGCTGACCGTCTCCTTCTGATTCCTTCTCCTCTGCAGCCCTCATGGACACCATTCAGATCGTGCAGACGCTTCGCAACTGCCTCCCAGCTCCCCACATACCGGTGTCCTCTGGAAAAGCGAGAGCGAGGGCAACGTGGGATCAGGAGTGGTGTGAGCGTGGGCGTTGGAGTGGGGGTTCCCCCAGGACTCAACCTGAGCGCCGCCTTGGGCTCCCTTCGGGCAGAGTGGATAACATGCACTAGGCGTAGGACGGAGTTCATCTGGTAGCATCCATAGACACCCCTCCCACATTCTTCCAGAAGTTCGAGAACACTTAGTATTTACACACAGAAATACGCCTAGATTATACATAAGCATAGCAGTTTACCCTCGTAGGCTTGGCTCCGGTTTTCCTTTTAGCAATTACGTGCCATGTTCAACGCAAGACTTGATTTAATTTTCACATTTGACTGACATTTAGGTATATATACATCCTGCGGTTGGATTCGTATGATTTCATTCTCTCCACTCTGTCTTTCCCTATTCGGCATGCAAAATTAACAAGCAAAACGGCAAATTAGTTAAACAATTGGCAAAACGTCTGTGATATTTAAATTATGTTGGCAAAACGGAAAACAAAACTAAATTTAATTTATTATGTTGTATGCCCTCTGTTGTAACATCTTACGATTTACTTTGTGCAATATCTACTAAGCATCTATTCTTAGCCATTCTCGTGCAATCGACGACTTCTCGCCCATATCAAAAGCAACTCGAATATAGCCTATACCTAAACTAACCTACTGATAATCGACATGATAGACGCGTAAGATTTACATTATATTTTGCATTAGAACTTCAGAGTACTTGAAGTATAATTGGAGGTAGGCCGCGGCGGCAAACGAGAGAGAATACGAGTTGTGTTTAACTTTAAGAAGCAGAAGATGGGTTGTATTCCGTATGCAAAGGCTATTTAAATATATATTTTAACCCGCCCGAGCTCACAATTACCAGTAATTCGATTTACGAGCAAACAGTATTATACGCAATAAAAAGACACTTGCAACCATAAGTATTTACCTAGCTGAAGTGTGGGAATTTAACGTAACATACCATTATCGCTTAATGTTTACATTCTGGACTTAATAATAAATAAATATTTTATTCTACGACTAACAAGAAAATTTTAATTCAAAGGGTTTTATTATAAGCTTCTTCTCAGCCATAGAAAGCCATGAAATAATTAAAAGAATTCCCCCATTCAAATTCTGTCAATACAAAAAACTTAGAAACAATTGAAACATTATATAAGAGTTATATAATTAACTGTCCGAAAAAACTGTTACAATTTTAAACAATGGAAGCTTCAAAATTGGACATCTGTAGTATCGATATCATTTTTACATTTCTCTTATTGGATCACCGGTGTTCCATTCTCTCAATACCCATATTCTGGCTCAATGATTGCTGGAAATAGGTTTATTTTATTTACCAAACATTTCATCCTCCCTGTGCAAGGAACCAAAACCATTTCGCATTAAATCCAGCATGTGTTAAAGCTCGCGTTTACTTTTCCACATGAATAAGGTATAATGTAAATTGCAAGTGGAAACGCAACAATTTAAGGCGGGAATCCAGTGGAATCATGATATTAGATAGCATGCTCACTGGCGCTGCGGATTTCGCCGTTCTCAGTTGACGGTCACACAGTGCACCGAGGCTGCGTTTTTCGTTGATAATTTTTAAATTTATTTATTAGTTTATTGGTTGGAAACTGAGCTGCCCCCGCCAACTGCCTGCTAAATTGTTTAACTAAATCGGTCCGCCGCCACCCGCTTGGACAGACCATCGGCTATCGATATATCCGCTGACGGTAATTGGAGAACGTTTTTTCCATTTTATCTCCACCTTGTCCGCACTTCGTTTTGTGCTCTCTTTGTGCGCTGCCTCCGCTTAACATTTGGGCCCAAAGAAAACGCACAAAAAGCCCCGCCGTGTGTGCCTGTGAATTTGGTTAAATACCGCCCAGTGGGACGGACGGGCCAGTGGCCAGGATGCAATAAGAATATGTGTGTGCAATA